GAAATGTTTCATATATGAAACCTTATGTGGAATTGAGGCACTTCATATATGAAAATTTCACATGTGAAATTATTTCATAAATTATATGAAAATTTTACATGTGCAATTGTTTCAGATGTGAAATCATTCCATATTGATATGATTTTTAACCAAGAATATTTGCTATATATTTTTATCAAGAATATTTTCGTATCGTCACATATGAAAAAGTTAGAAGATAATAAAATAGCTGCATATAAGTGAATTTCAATGTATGGATTGAAAATTTATTGGAATAAACTTATGAGGTTTTATACAATAAAAATGTACTGAATACAAAAGTGTTAAATACACAGACATGTTTACCTATATAATTAAAAAAAACAATTTAGCTAACATTTAAAGAAGAACACTTATCAAGCTCAATTTTATTTTTGCTTTGCATGCCATTTTTTCATGATTTCATACTTTATCTGTTTGCACCTAGCATTCCTTGTTACTATCTTCACTGCTCTGGGGCCGGTTGTATCAAGCTCGTTTAGCTTAAACGGTGGATAAGTCAAAATTAAATAACACTCTTTCATCTCTCTAGAATGAGTCAACTTGAATATTATGCATTAAATATTTTGTTGTAGACTCTATCTTTGCATATCAAGGTAAAAAACATTTATTGTACTTGTTGAGTTGGCTATTGTGCTAGTTTTCTATCAATATAAATTGAACAAATTACCCGTGATTCATCAGTGATTACCGTGGTTTATAAGATAACCCCGAAATGTTACCGTCTGCCGGTCAATTAGTCACTTCTTATATATGAAGATCAAGTCAGCTGGTCAACACAAACAATAAATACCTGACAACTTCATTAAAATAATTATTTAATAGACCACATGAACACAGCTTAACTACAGCTTAACCACATATCTTATTTATATCTATATTTGGACTATTCCACACGGATACATACATGTACGAATCACATAATTATATACCGTTTACGAGCAATGCCGATTAATCCGATCATAGGGTTTGACCAGTAAACTCGTTTGACAGTCCAGATACGAATTTTGAGATACAACTGCATTACGAATTTTGATACAACTGCATGCATTACGAATTTTGAGATACAACAACCATACTCACTTGTACAACGGATTCCGGTCGACTGCAAAATAACAAGCGTTCGCAAGGCATGTTGGGTCGTTTAGAATGTGATGTTTGAATTTTGAGACTCACACGGTTTTGGCGCGCATCTTGCATGTAGACAAATTCGAAATGCTTGCAGTCTTTTAAAATGTGGAAAGTCAATACGAAAGGGCAATCCTACAGTCATGGGAAAGCACTTTCTTTTAAAACAAGCACCTTCTTCAAAGCACTTTCTTTCAATAACACTGCAACTGTGTTAAAGTAGAAATGAAACGCTCCGCCCATTCCTTGGAAACTGTGCATGTGACTTTTTTAAATGTCATATATTAAACGGCCCAACATGCGTTGCGAACGCTTGTTGTCTTGCAGTTAAACGGAATCCGCTGTAATTTTCCTAGTTTTAAATATAACGGTATCATCGGAACAACATGCTCGGGGGGAAGAGGGTACTAATGACCAAAATTCCTTTAATACCAAAGCCCAAATGGGTAATATGCAAAAATACGAAAAAAGACGCAAAAATTATATGAAAATGAAAACTGATACATTATGAACTTTTTACTATCTCACGTGTGAAAGAAATTTCATATATGAACTTTACTTTTCACATGTGAAGGTGAAATTATATATATGAAGGCAGCATTTGATATTTGAAAACCACTTTACTTATGTCAAAATCAAATTTCATATATGAAGTTTTTCATTTCATATAATATGATCATGTTCATTTCATATATGAAACTCATATTTCATATATGAAATGTTATGTGAATTTTTTGGAAGGGATTCATCATCGACCCCGCATGCGCACAATTTTTTTAATACACAGCTTTTTTTTAGGAGTGAAAATATCTTTTTATAAAAAAAGATAACTATATATAGGCACGCCAATTTGAGGCGGATAACGCAAATTGAGGCTTGATAATTCTCGATATCATGCGAAAACCAAATTCAATAATTGTTTCCTTTTTAGAGAGGAAGCTTGCGCCATATTATTGACAACAAACTATGGCGGCAAAAATTACGTCAACAACGGATAATTTTCAATGTCGTGCAGGTGGCAAGACATCGAGAATTATCACAGGGTGCCCGCCTTAGCGTTTGTTATTAAAATATCGCTTTAAAAACTAATGCTGCAAAAGATGACAAGAAACGACTTGCAGTTGAATTTAGGAATATATTCGACGAGAAAAACAACCTTCAGTTGAATTTAAAAAGTAAATTCCGAGGTAAATTTGACAACAGTCTACATGAATTGCAACTTTGTTATAAACGTACATGAAGTACTGCAGCGTGGAGCCTTAAGCACTGATGTGTTGGACCGCGAGCGCAACAAGTGACGTCAGGGCACACGCTGGGAGGGGAAAAAGAATAAAGGGATGAAATCATGTGCTCCGCTCCGCAGCCTCCGCGCGCATATAGCCTGGACAGCTCGTATATTGTCGGGAGTCATCAGGTTTATGCCGAAACCAAAAACGCGCGAAATTTAAACTTCAAACAATGATGCTCGGTGGTGACAGGGTTTTGCAGGAATTTGAAGAAATCGTTGATACAACTGTGCGTAATAAAGCAAATGCGTTAAAAGAAAGACGTATAATTAATTGGTAAGTGTTTTTCTTTATATCATTGCTCAGCGATGCGTAAACTGTCCACTTTAGCGTGACGGTCTAATATACACACAAAGCGTAACAAATTTATGGTGATATTTAATATCTGATAGGATGTTAAAGACGTATATGATGTGTCATGGCACACATAACATTTCTTTTTAAATTAACCGACGATGTTAATCAAGTGCTTTTATCTACAACATCGAAAGAGAATAATCGTCCTTTGAAAGAACACGAGCTCGGGCGGATTATAAAGCGTGTATTTCCCACAATAAAAAAGCCAAAATAACTGTTACTAAAGATGGGATGACGAAACGTGAACCAGTGTACGAAGGAATATGTGTTGTTGAATCAACACAAAAATTTCTGAGCTGGGATGATCTTAAAATTATTCTCCCGCAGGGGCGTAACTAGAACGATAATTGGGGGATGAATATTCATATATTCAGTTCTGCCCGACGGATTTCTATTGTAGGCTATTGCAATTACAAAAGAAATCCGTAGGGCAGAACTGGATATATGAATATTCACCCCCCCCCCAATTATCGTTCTAGTTACGCCACTGTATCTCCCGAAGCAATGTTCGCGAACAAGTGGACACTATCAAAGGCAAAGGAAACTGATGAATACGTGGAGTGGATAAATGTATCCTGCGATTCTTGCAATGGCGAAAGAGTCGTGAAGTCTCTGATGATTTTCAACAATTTTTCGTTCAAATTTTTCATTGGGTCACACGAAGTTAGACCCAATTAGAGGATCATTGTACAGTCATCCGTGTCAATATTATTTAGATGGTCTTTTTTCCTACTTGTTCAGCGTTATATGTAATGGCTTTTCCGTTGAAGTGGACAAAAAAACTACTGATAAATCTGGAAATGTTGTAGGATTGACAGAACGGTGGTCAAATTTATTAGTAGCGAGTCGACATCACTGCGACACCGAGCAATTAATTGTGCATATATTTTCTCTGTTCATGAAAAGATGTGCTGCGGCTGTTCTACAATAAAGCACAATTCATACTATAAAAGTTTGAAAGAAAGTCATGCGTGCAAAGAGAAAGCTCTTTCGCACCACAAAAGAGGGAAACGTACATGGGCGAAGAGGAGCTCAAAGAAACTACAACAAGAAAGAGAAGGCGCATAAATTGTGAACGTCGTGAACGATTCAAGCAGGATTATAGATAACATGCACACATTTGCAGAAGAAGATAGCAACGACTTTAATACGATGTTTAGTAATATTGACGAGAATGAACTGAACCCAGACTTGAAGTGTTTTGGGAAGCACAAAAGAAGGCCATGGAAATGAAAGACGGAGAGAAACAGATGGCATCCAAAGTAAGTGTACATGTATATATTTTTATATTGTTAGCTTCTTTGGATTTTATGATTGGCTGATGTATTGTACGTATTATAGAATAACTACACCGAGCTTATACTATATTACCTTGTTATTTGATATTCGTATTATTCATAGCACTTTCCAGTTGGGGATTTTCCCTGAAATATAAACAAACTGGAGAGTACAGAACTGTTGATACCTTATTAAATCATTCCATGGAATTTATATAGAGTAATAAGCATGGCCTTCGATAATAAATTGTATATATTTTTTTATTATTTTAGGATAATTCGCCTTTGTCTGTCATTGTCGATAAAAAGCCCAAAATCTATGAAGAGCTAAGACAAAGTGGTGTTGTTGTTTTTCCTTCTTGGATGTTACTTTCTTTATACAAGAATTCAGTGAGCCAAAAGCCCAAAACCCAGGTCTTAATGACGATGTCTTAAATTGGATGATAGGAGAGGCGGACAAGATTAAACTGACCGCATTTGGCAGAGAAAGTGGTCTTATTTTAGACGAAATGTCAATACATGCAGGTAAACCAGATTTTTTGATAAGTTGATCTCGTGAATAGTAAAACCAGTTTTACTTTGTGCAGGGAGAGAAAGGATTGTTTTTATTATAATTTTGTCCTTTTCTCCTTTTTATATACAGCTTAATTCAGTTAGGTTTGTCCAAAATGTTTTAAAACCTTAAAGTGTCTATGAAGTGAAAAAATCACATCATTTTTTTTGTTTTAAAATGATAGATTAGGGATAGACGGAAAGTAGAAAAATTGTTTATAAAATTTCGTATATTAGTGACCGAGATAGAGCTACCTAAAGTTAGAGTTTTAAGTGACCATTTTTTATGGAGCCTGGGGATGAGTATGATGTTTTGTGACGTATGCAAATGGACACGACGACAATCACGCACGATAAACATAATAAACAATCCTAGCAAAATATGGCTACTGCGATGGAAGTTTTTAAGGAAAGCGAACGCTCTTCGAGCTCGAATTCATCTTCACAAGAAAGCGCTAGCGAGGATGAAATTCTAGAGCAATCGTCTCTTATTGTACCCTATTCAAACGAACCGCTTGCTAGTAGCGGCGATGAGTTTGACGAGAGTACAACAGACGACGAGGATGGCATTTCTTCCGAGACGCTCGGGAAAAGATGGAGCAAGGACGTGCCAGTGAACTCATGGTGAGTCGCGCTATTATTTGGTTCATCCTAAACTAAACTTTTCATTGAAGGCACTCTATTAATACAATATAGGTGTCAATGTGGACGGTGCAACGATCGTCACCTCAGTAGCGCAAGGGAATATCGTTGCTGTAAGGAAATCCTTGAGTGTGCAGGGAAGTATACGTATGAGGGTAAGGATGCTGCGTGCATTGTGGAACATTGGGATTATTTGCCAATGGTTCACAGAACTGTGTTAAGTAACGTTGGGCAGTTATTAACCAGGAAAGATGGCACTAAATATAAAAGAAAGAAAAACCAGAGTGAAAACGAGTGGGTACTTTGTAACTATTATAAAGTTCAATGTTCATATTTGTATATACTATATTTTTTGTCCTTATTTATATGTATAGTGAATTGATCAGAATCGCTTTATGACAAGACAAGGCAAGGGATCAATATTTCAAACTCACATGCAAAACATGTCAAACTTTGATTGTGATTGTGCAAAAGATATGATAGGTTATCGCTTGTTTATATATGCCCTAAATCAATCAGTTCTCTTGCACTCATAGTTCAACCTTTAGTATTGAGTAAGACACGTCAAGTGTTTCCTGCCAGTCAGTCAGATTGTATCTCACGTAATTGTATTTTGAATTAAACTGGTCACAATATTAATACATTTTGTGTTCCAATTTTATGTGATTACTGTCAATAAATTGTAAATGTACAGTGTGTCATATTAATATGAGTTTTGTAAATTTCATTTTCACAGGAAGATCTTCAAATGAAGACAAAAAATGGGATAACACACATATGTGTGTGTGTTGGGGGGGGGGGGGGGAGAAGGCAGTTGCTATCTACTAGCTACCTCTACTACATAATTACATGGTTATATTAGTAAGCTGTACAAGAAGTTGTTATAAATATTCACCCAAATACAACCATTACATGACTGATTTTGCTCATTGCTCTCTAAAATTACAACAATGTTAATTGAAGACATGTTGTCATAATACCTGTGCTCAAAGCATTCATATAATTATGTGTTTCACCAAGCTGAACAAATCCAACTAGTGTTGTTATCCCATTTTTTGTCTTCATTTGAAGATCTTCCTGTGAAAATGAAATTTACAAAACTCATATTAATATGACACACTGTACATTTACAATTTATTGACAGTAATCACATAAAATTGGAACACAAAATGTATTAATATTGTGACCAGTTTAATTCAAAATACAATTATGTGAGATACAATCTGACTGACTGGCAGGAAACACTTGACGTGTCTTACTCAATACTAAAGGTTGAACAATGAGTGCAAGAGAACTGATTATTTAGGGCATATATAAGCGATAACCTATCATCTTTTGCACAATCATAGTTTAATTAAGGTTTTAAAACATTTTGGACAAACCTAACTGAATTAAGCTGTATATAAAAAGAAGAAAAGGACAAAATTATAATAAAAACAATCCTTTCTCTCCCTGCACAAAGTAAAACTGGTTTTACTATTCACGAGATCAACTTATCAAAAAATCTGGTTTACCTGTATTGACATTTCGTCTAAAATAAGACCACCTTCTCTGCCAAATGCGGTCAGTTTAATCTTGTCCGCCTCTCCTATCATCCAATTTAAGACATCGTCATTAAGACCTGGGTTTTGGGCTTTTGGCTCACTGAATTCTTGTATAAAGAAAGTAACATCCAAGAAGGAAAAACAACAACACCACTTTGTCTTAGCTCTTCATAGATTTTTGGGCTTTTTATCCACAATGACAGACAAAGGCGAATTATCCTAAATAATAAAAAAATATATACACATTTATTATTCGAAGGCCATGCTTATTACTCTATATAAATTCCATGGAATGATTTAATAAGGTATCAACAGCTCTGTACTCTCCAGTTTGTTTATATTTCAGGGAAAATCCCCAACTGGAAAGTGCTATAAATGATACGAATATCAAATAACAAGGTCTAATATAGTATAAGCTCGGTGTAGTTATTCTATAATACGTACAATACATCAGCCAAATCATAAAATTATCCAAAGAAGCTAACAATATAAAAAATATATACATGTACACTTACTTTGGATGCCATCTGTTTTCTCTTCCGTCTTTCATTTCCATGGCCTTCTTTTGTGCTTCCCAAAACACTTTCAAGTCTGGGTTCAGTTCATTCTCGTCAATATTACTAAACATCGTATTAAAGTCGTTGCTATCTTCTTCTGCAAATGTGTGCATGTTATCTATAATATCCTGCTTGAATCGTTCACGACGTTCACAATTTATGCGCCTTCTCTTTTCTTGTTGTAGTTTTCTTTGAGCTCCTCTTCGCCCATGTACGTTTCCCTCTTTTGTGGTGCGAAAAGAGCTTTCTCTTTGCACGCATGACTTTCTTTCAAACTTTTATAGTATGAATTGTGCTTTATTGTAGAACAGCCGCAGCACATCTTTTTCAGAGAAAATATATGCACAATTAATTGCTCGGTGTCGCAGTGATGTCGACTCGCTATCTGATAAATTTGACCACCGTTCTGTCAATCCTACAACATTTCCAGATTTATCAGTAGTTTTTTTGTCCACTTCAACGGAAAAGCCATTACATATTGGAACGCTGAACAAGTAGGAAAAAGACCATCTAAATAATGATTGACGGATGACTGTACAATGATCCTCTAATTCAACTTCGTGTGACCCAATGAAAAATTTGAACGAAAAATTGTTGAAAATCATCAGAGACTTCACGACTCTTTCGCCATTGCAAGAATCGCAGGATACATTTATCCACTCCACGTATTCATCAGTTTCCTTTGCCTTTGATAGTGTCCACTTGTTCGCGAACATTGCTTCGGGAGATACAGTGGCGTAACTAGAACGATAATTGGGGGGGGGGGTGAATATTCATATATCCAGTTCTGCCCTACGGATTTCTTTTGTAATTGCAATAGCCTACAATAGAAATCCGTCGGGCAGAACTGAATATATGAATATTCATCCCCCCAATTATCGTTCTAGTTACGCCCCTGCGGGAGAATAATTTTTAACGTCATCCCAGCTCAGAAATTTTTGTGTTGATTCAACAACACATATTCCTTCGTACACTGGTTCACGTTTCGTCATCCCATCTTTAGTAACAGTTATTTTGGCTTTTTTTATTGTGGGAAATACACGCTTTATAATCCGCCCGAGCTCGTGTTCTTTCAAAGGACGATTATTCTCTTTCGATGTTGTAGATAAAATTGATTAACATCGTCGGTTAATTTAAAAACTGAAATGTTATGTGTGCCATGACACATCATATACGTCTTTAACATCCTATCAGATATTAAATATCACCATAAATTTGTTACGCTTTGTGTGTATATTAGACCGTCACGCTAAAGTGGACAGTTTACGCATCGCTGAGCAATGATATAAAGAAAAACACTTACCAATTAATTATACGTCTTTCTTTTAACGCATTTGCTTTATTACGCACAGTTGTATCAACGATTTCTTCAAATTCCTGCAAAACCCTGTCACCACCGAGCATCATTGTTTGAAGTTTAAATTTCGCGCGTTTTTGGTTTCGGCATAAACCTGATGACTCCCGACAATATACGAGCTGTCCAGGCTATATGCGCGCGGAGGCTGCGGAGCGGAGCACATGATTTCATCCCTTTATTCTTTTTCCGCTCCCAGCGTGTGCCCTGACGTCACTTGTTGCGCTCGCGGTCCAACACATCAGTGCTTAAGGCTCCACGCTGAAGTACTTCATGTACGTTTATAACAAAGTTGCAATTCATGTAGACTGTTGTCAAATTTACCTCGGAATTTACTTTTTAAATTCAACTGAAGGTTGTTTTTCTCGTCGAATATATTCCTAAATTCAACTGCAAGTCGTTTCTTGTCATCTTTTGCAGCATTAGTTTTTAAAGCGATATTTTAATAACAAACGCTAAGGCGGGCACCCTGTGATAATTCTCGATGTCTTGCCACCTGCACGACATTGAAAATTATCCGTTGTTGACGTAATTTTTGCCGCCATAGTTTGTTGTCAATAATATGGCGCAAGCTTCCTCTCTAAAAAGGAAACAATTATTGAATTTGGTTTTCGCATGATATCGAGAATTATCAAGCCTCAATTTGCGTTATCCGCCTCAAATTGGCGTGCCTATATATAGTTATCTTTTTTTATAAAATATAACCCAACCGAAAAGCTCCCGAAAATCATTATTTTTATATTTCTACTTTATATTCACTTCTAAATTGGCATTTGGAAGTGTGAATGACATTCGCATGCAGTATCTCTCGACACGGCATTGTCTAAGCAAGACTAGGAACACAATCACATTTGTGAGGGATTGTATAATTAATATGGTAAAATGTACTTAATTAGGTAAATACAACACTTGACATAATAGAATTGAATAGCAACAGACTATATATATGTATATATGTATATGTATATATATATATATATATATATATATATATATATATATATATATATATATATATATATATATATATATATATATATATATATATATATATATACAAGTCTCCTTCAATGCACGGAGAGAAAGATATAGATATTGAAAACGATTCATCATTTTGAAAATTCATATTGGAAAGAATTTCGCCTCTGCCAATATCGCCAAGTAATGATCAGAATGCTGTTATTGTCTTTTCTTTGCTTTGCAGAATTAAATTGCAATTTTTGCAGCATGGTAACAATACAAACATGCAATATAACCGCAATTTCTGAAACTTTAGCGTTAAAGCTAAACTAGTGTTACTGTATGTCTCTGAATTTAGTAGTAGTAGTAAAGAAAAACAACTGCCCATGCAATAGTAATTGTGTTTCGGTACGAAGAAATTTAGACTGAGATATACAGTAACAATAGTTCAGCTTTAACGCTAAAGTTTCAGAAATTGCGGTTATATTACATGTTTGTATTGTTACCATGCTGCAAAAATTGCATTTTAATTCTGCAAGGCAAAGAAAAGACAATAACAGCATTCTGATCATTACTCGGCGATATTGGCAGAGGCGAAATTCTCTCCAATATGAATTTTCAAAATGATGAATCGATCTCTCTTTCTCTCCGTGCATTGAAGGAGACTTGTATATATATATATATATATATATATATATATATATATATATATATATATATATATATATATATATATATATATATATATATATATATATATATATATATATATATATATATATATATATATATATATATATATATATATATATATATATATATATATATATATATATATATATATATATATATATATATATATATATATATGTAAGGTGTATTTGTTCTTCTGCACAAGTATAACCAACCGGGCAAGCAGAAAATTCTACTTGACCGCGGTGGGAATCGAACCCGCGACCTTCGCATTTCTAGAACGATGCTCTACCGTCTGAGCTCCAAGGCCAAGTTTGGAACGACTGTGATTTTACTTAAGTTAATAAGTAATACTTAAGTTCAATTCT